CTCCACGATCCTAACAACCTTTACGGGTAGCAGCCTTTCCTGCCGTGGCATCTTCTCTGTGTTCAAGTTGCCGGCATTGAGCTCTCTTGTGCCCAGGTTTGTTACAGTGCCAGCAAAGTTCCTTAAACTTCTCTGAAAGCTGCCCTTTTCTGGCCTTGAATCCTGATGACTGTACCAACCTTCGTATCTCTGTGCTGGACTTAACGTAGGATTCGATTTCAAGAGCTCTAGCCATTGCATCCTGCATAGTGGAGGGGTGTGCTTGCTTTACTTGTATCTTCAGTTGTGGACTGTCCAAGGCATCTACAAACTGATCCCTCAGCAATAGCTTGAGGATATCAGGTGGTGCAGTTGTGTCACACTTTCCAAATCCTGTACCAGCTCTTGCAGGCTCTCCCCTTTAGCACGGACTCTAGTCCTAAACCTAGCCCTGTAGACTTCGGACTTATTTTGAGTTCCATACCCGAGTTCTAGAGCAGCTACCAGTGCTCTAAAGTTGTGCCTGTAGTCTGCTGACAACTGTCCAAGTATTAACAGTGGTTGTCCCTTCAGGCTCGTGCGAGGTACACTGCTTTCTGCTCCTCTGTCCATCCATTCATTTTTGCCAGTAGCTCAAATTGTGCTCTATATACTTCCCACGTTGCCTTCCCATCGAATTCCTGTGGCTTCCTTCATACTAGATCACGCCTGTTGCTGACACTCGTGTCTGGAATGTGACTTCTGACAGGACTGAAGATGTCTGCATTAGGGTTTAGCTGCGGGGTCTGGAAGAGGCTTCCTGTTGTCTGAGGCTGATTAGGTCAATGGCTAATATATCCTCCTTGTATAAAAGACAGTAAATCATCCTTTAATGTATTTAATTCACTTTGAAATTTACTAATGTTTTCCACTTGTGTATGCTGACTTTCTCTCAACTGTTGGAGACTTTCTTCTTGTTTATTTTCTTTCTCCTCCAACCACTGCTGTAGTCTCTCTTCTTGTTTCTTTTATTTTTCCTCCAACCACTGCTGTAGTCTCTCTTCTTGTCTTTTTTCTTTTTCCTCCAACCACTGCTGTCGTCTCTCTTCTTGTTTATTTTCTTTCTCCTCCAACCACTGCTGTAGTCTCTCTTCTTGTTTCTTTTCTTTTTCCTCCAACAACTGCTGTAATCTATATTGTTTATTTTGCTGTTTGAGCTGCCACTGTTGCAGGTTTTCTTACCACTGCTGTAGTCTCTCTTCTTGTTTCTCTTCTCATACTTCTTGTTTCTTTTGCTGTTCTTGTATTGCTGCCATCAAATCTGCAAAGATGTAGTTTGATTTGCCACCTGTCGTTTCCATCTTTTTTTCTTTTCTATACCACTCTCTGACACCAATTTGTTATATATCTACTTGTTTGTTAATTTCCCGTAGAAATTCTTTCCGAGAAACTTCAACGCTACAAGTCCTTTCTTGATTTAAAACTAGTTTATTCTTTCTTGATACAAACTTTGTAATACACTAAACAACTTTTATAACACATGCTATAAATCACAGTGATTCATACACTTTACTTACGGTGCCTACTGTTCGCTTGACTCAATTTTCTATCTCCCCAATCATGCTGGTTTTTCTCATCAGGCTTATATATACTAAAATAGAGGGCATCTGGATCATACTCGAGCAGGTGGGCAAATTCATGATCTTTCGAGAAACTCCAGCGTGCGTGCTTCCAGTGTCGCATGACTTCCTTTATCTAGAACTCTCTGTAACCACCACACAGTATTTGATATCATTCAACCACATAACAACCTCTATCCAGAACTCTTTGTAACCACCACACAGTATTTGATATCATTCAATCACATAACAACCTCTATCCAGAACTCTTTCTAAACACCACACAGTATTTGATATCATTCAACCACATCATAGCCTCTGTCTGTAACTCTATGAAATATCAAATTTGATTTATTAATTAATGTCTGCTTTTTTAAATCCAACATTTCCACAACAATTATAAAGCTCATAAGATAAAAAGATGAAAAATATTTATCTATCAAAAATTGCTTTTTTATTTTGAATACATAGCATTGCTTCTAATGGTAATATAGTGTAATTCTAAATAGTTTATCCCAAAAAAGCTCCTTATCTCAACTACTTCAGTTGATGACAACTATAAGGTTGATACCATTACACCATTGCTTGATGAGACTTTGTTTAATTAACATCACATTATACCACAGGTACGTAATAAATGGTAGTACCGTTTTCAAGTGAACACCTTACCGTGACAATCCCAAGTTTTCGCCAGTATCAAAAGCTTTAGCCATGTGAATAATAGCAGCTCTGTCTCCACCCGAAGCTGCACGAAGCATGTACCACACACCTTTCTCCTGGTGTTGTGGAGTGTCCTGAAGAGAAAGAGAGTTAATCCTAGAACACAGCAAAACATCATGAAATTTTACCTCTGATTTCTAAACAAGTAGACACAGTACATATAAAACAATTTTCACCAATAGCCATAAAGCCTAACACTTGTTTAAATTTATAAATATAATAAAAACATTCTTCTAAACTGAATGTAATCGGTGAATATTTACTATTTCATAAAAACGGATAGGAAAGATCAGATCATTCTATATTAAGCCTAATTTTTACTAAGTAAAATATCAAAATTTTGGTGAAATTTTACGTAAAGACATAACAATAAGAAGCATGAACGCAGCCTATCCCATAAAACTTCAGTTAATCAATGAACAACTTTCTAAACTTACAGGCACAGAAATATCAACCAACAGGTCATGCTGCAGCTGCAAGTAGATACGAGCCATGGTGACCACAGCTTCCATGATTCCACAGTCTGCGGCATGTTGCATGTGAAAGAAAGCAGCATCGCGATTATACTCTTCTTCATCATCCTCTGCTGTAAACCGCCCCAATTCATGATACTTAGCCATTTCTAGGTGAACCTAATAAAAAGTTTTGTCATAATCAAACTGTAGCATTCTCAAATACTTCTACCTCTTATGTTGAGACCCAACTATAATCTATAATATAGTCTTAACTTGATATTAACTAATATGTATCCATCAAGTTCCTCTTAGTGTGTTTCATATTTCCTCTACAGTGAACAATTTTAATTTACAACCTAAAAATAAACTATTGCTATACCTGTCCCAGGACCGATGTTTCTGGATTTCTGTTTTCATCATTTTCCAACATCTTCCTCAATTGGACTTCATTGTGGACACAAGAAGGGCGGGACTGACGGGCAATCAACTCTTGAAAAGCTACACGTTCACGTTCCTGTAAAAATATAAACATTACACAGAGACTTTGAACAACTTCAAAAAACAATTTTGTTAAAAAAATGCTATATTAAAGAGAGAAAAATCCATTTTATATTCATTTTATTTATATAAATTAAATATATTTATATTTATTATACTAACACACAGTAGGATTTATACATATTTAACATGAATTTCAAGAAGCTGTGGAAACTTCTATCATTTTAACATGGAATTTTTCTTATTGAAATTTTCTTATGTTAAGTTTTATTACTAGAAAACTTAAATACGTTTTCAAAATAAGAACAAGTTGTTTTATATAACTAATATAGTCGAAGTACGTTTCACACAGTCTTAGTTTAGTCAGTTATTTGTTTAAGTAATATCAACTAAATATTATTTGCAAAAATTAACAAAAATTTTGGGTTTTTATTTTAGAAAGATGTTATGAGCAAATCAGTTTCAACTTATATATATTGCAAAGATTTACATACTTGAATTCTGTTAATAAACAGAGAACCTAGGGAAACCTCACTTTTGTACACGTGTTAAAATTGATATTGTCATAAAACTAACTGATTATACATTTCTGAATTATAGCCTTAGAAAACCAAATATTCTCACGTCAACCGATGTTGCACTACTTTCAGAATCATATCTCTTTCTTCTTGAGAGATGCAGAGATCCCACTCCAGAGTCTGAATTGAGGCCAAGATTGGAAATATCATCTTCATCTTCACTCCTTTCATCATCTTCTCCATCCATGTCTTCACTGCCTGAGCTCATGGTTCGGTTACCACTGTCCCTACTCCTGCAGCGGATGTAGAAGTCCACGGGAGAACCAAGGATTTCACTGTCTGAAGGGCTTCCTGGAAGGGAAGATCCACTATAGGTCCGAGTACGAGCCCGCAAAAACTCGGTCAGGTGAGATCGCTCATACTGAGAAGGAAGAATGCAGATTTCTTCTGTTCCCCGAACTCTCGTCTTGCAGGATCGCTAATGATTCAAAGATTAAAAACACTCTTACAAACCACTTGTGGTTTATTTTTATTTTAATACCAATAAAAATACACCTACTGTTATTACTACACTGACAAATTTGTTCCTTAGCAAGTTCCTGAACACGGGAGGAAAGCTGTATTAAAACAACAAACTTCTAAGAAATATATGAATGTTAGTAAATAAAAAGTCTAATTTCTTAGAAAGAATTAAACTGTGAAACCATAAGGAGTCAAATTTTTCTTCTTTGAAAATAGTAGTCAATTATACCTGCATATGTGCTATCTTTTGATTGGCTTTCTTCTCTGGTACTGCAAGATCAAAAGGTGACAAACTCAAACTATGGCAGATATTGTTACACACATGTGAGTGGAAGAACAACGCCATGCCTTTGGGGCCCAGATTTCCATCTCCGTAATCCTTTCCTGAAGCAGTATGGATCTGTGGGTCAGTGTAAAGGTCACCAACCCCTTGAATGTCTACAACAATTAACTCGTGACCTGATCGCTCAAATGTGAAGTGACTAAAAGCCTAGAGGGAGAAAAAACTATACTCTTTATAACAAAATTAAAAACTCAATCCAGAAAAAAATTAGAAAACTACATTCACTAATACAGTTAGAAATACACACTACTCAGAAAAACTAGAAATCTACACTGTCAAGAACAGAATTAGAAACCTACACTGTCCAGAAGAGAATTAGAAACTTGCACTGTCCAGAACAGAATTAGAAATCTACACTGTCCAGAACAGAATGAGGAACCTACACTGTCCAGAACAAAATTAGAAACCTGCACTGTCCAGAACAGAATTAGAAATCTGCACTGTCCAGAATAGAATTAGAAACCTGCACTGTCCAGAACAGAATTAGAAATCTGCACTGTACAGAACAGAATTAGGAACCTACACTGTCTAGAACAAAATTAGAAACCTGCACTGTCCAGAACAGAATTAGAAATCTACATTGTACAGCACAGAATTAGAAATCTACACTGTCCAGAACAGAATTAGAAGCCTGCACTGTCCAGAACAGAATTAGATACCTGCACTGTCCAGAACAGAATTAGATATCTGCACTGTACACAACAAAATTAGAAATCTGCACTGTCCAGAATAGTATTAAAAATCTACACTGTCCAGAACGGAATTATAAACCTGCACTGTCCAGAACAGAATTAGAAATCTGCACTGTCCAGAACAGAATTAGAAATCTGCACTGTCCAGAACAGATTTAGAAACCTGCACTGTCCAGAACAGATTTAGAAACCTGCACTGTCCAGAACAGAATTAGAAATCTACACTGTACACAACAGAATTAGAAATCTACACTGTCCAGAACAGAATTAGAAATCTGCACTGTCCAGAACAGATTTAGAAACCTGCACTGTCCAGAACAGATTTAGAAACCTGCACTGTCCAGAACAGAATTAGAAATCTACACTGTACACAACAGAATTAGAAATCTACACTGTACACAACAGAATTAGAAACATGCACTGTCCAGAACAGAATTATAAATCAACACTGTCCAAAATGGAATTAGAAATCAACACTGTCCAGAACAGAATCAGAAATCTACACTGTCTGTTTGTTTGTTATTTTTGAATTTTGCGCAAAACTACACGAGGGCTATCTGCGCTAGCCATCCCTAATTCAGCAGTGTAAAACTAGAGGGAAGGCAGTTAGCCATCACCATCCACCCCCAACTCTTGGGCTACTCTTTTACCAATGGATAGTGGGATTGACCATCATTTTATAATGCCCCCACGGCTGAAAGGGCGAGCATGTTTGGTGTAATGGGGATTTGAACCCACGACCCTCAGATTGCGAGTCGAGCGCCTTAACCACCTGGCCATACTGGGCTCATCTACACTGTCCAGAACAGAATTAGATATCTACACTGTACAGAATGGAATTGGAAACCTGAACTGTCCAAAACAGAATTAGAAACCCGCCTGTCCAGAATGGAATTAGAAACCTACACTGTCCAGAATGGAATTAGAAACCTACACTGTCTAGAATAGAATTAGAAACCTACACTGTCCAGAATGGAATTAGAAATCTACACTGTCCAGAACAGAATTAGAAACCTACACTGTCCAGAATGGAATTAGAAACCTACACTGTCTAGAATAGAATTAGAAACCTACACTGTCCAGAATGGAATTAGAAATCTACACTGTCCAGAACAGAATTAGAAACCTACACTAAGAAAAGGATTATCAGACTTACCACACTAAGTAGCAAAAAGGACACTAATATGTTACTACAAGTTAAACTTTAAAGAGTGTTCAAGAAGTCATAGTCACAATATCAATAATTAAAACATAAAACAAAATTTCAACATACCTTTTAATTTCATGCCATTTTAAGAAGATATAATATCTATTTCACAAAGAAAGCATTAATATGCTACAATATTTCTATAAATAAAGTTTACTTCTGTCTGAAAACAAATGAGTTGATCTGTGGAAAAAAATTACCTGAGGAGTGAGACGAAGTCCTTCACTACTGATGAAACCAGAGTTGGAGTTGTATTTGACATATTTACCTTCGATATAATGTTCTAAGTGAAAGAGGGGCTTTCCAGGTCTACTGTACAATTCAATCACACACATCTGAAATATGTCCACCTTTGGAACATAGAAATAAGCTCTTAGTGTGCTACTTTATTCAAGTCTAAGTAACTTTTTCCCAATTTTAACACAATATTATTCAAAAGTGTCAAAGACTAATAAATACATTTTTCTTTTATACTTTCATTTTATTTATTAAGTAATACAAGTGGAATGTCGGGGATCATTCAGTTGAGCTGAACTCTTTCATTCAATAATTTTCACGACTGTATCACAGAAGGCAAAAAAAATTGTTTAAAAAATAAAACTTGTTATTTATCTGATTGATAAAAATTTCTGTCAATCTTTTAGTGACACAACAGTGATTATTACAGTGGTCTAAGTAAAGAACTACAACAACCCCTAAAAAAACGAATTTACTGCAACATGGATGGTAGTTTTATTGGTATGGTTTGGGTTATTACAGATCCTGTAATGAACAAGGTCATGAAATATAAATGGTTCAGAACAATGTGGTTAAAAAGACAATGGTACCTACATCAACAACCTGAGGATGCATCAATGGTACCTAATGAGTAATTCTAGGGTTAAGCATGTTACCTACATCAACAACCTGAAGATGCATCAATGGTACCTAATGAGTAATTCTAGGGTTAAGCATGTTACCTACGTCAACAACCTGAGGATGCATCAATGGTACCTAATGAGTAATTCTAGGGTTAAGCATGTTACCTACATCAACAACCCGAGGATGCATCAGTGGTACCTACTGAGTAATTCTAGGGTTAAGCATGTTACCTACATCAACAACCTGAGGATGCATCAATGGTACCTACAGAGTAATTCTAGGGTTAAGCATGTTACCTACATCAACAACCTGAGGATGCATCTTCCATTTGTGCTGGTCATTTGTCATTTTGCCAAATAAATACATATGATTAATAGTTTTTGTCTGTCAAATATTCGATTCTACGGCAGTTACACTACCTTTTTCGGAGGATTGTGACGATTGTATTCCTCACTCCACAGTTTGGCGTCCATCTGTAACTTGACATCCTCAAAGTACACCTCTCTGTTTACATTCTCCATGTACTTTTTGGCTACGTAATTAGAAGCGTGCTCCCAGTTATCATGAGCAAAGTTGGAGAGTTTCTTCCTGAAAAAAAAAAGACTTTATCATCATTGTTAACAACCAGAAGAATACCCACTCCAACTGTTTTGAATATATTTAAAAACAAACAGCCTATGATGTCTGTAGAATGGAACAGATACACAAACTTACCAGAGTGTTAACATTTCTCTCCTTTTCTTTGAACACAAGTGTTGCTACTCTGATACTTACAATTCACATGCTTTATTAGATATATCTATGCATTACACCCAAGGATTTCTGTTGTTCTATACGAAAAATATTTTATTCTGTACTGAATATTATATGGGCTTCATTTGATTTTCTGTTTTAGTGTTTTACAAACTGTATGCTTTTAAACACCTGGTGAAATTCAATAACACAAGATGGTTTTGAATATATGTCAATAGACAAGAAAGCTAAAAAATAAAATTTAACACTAGACAACATATCAATGTATAAAAATATTACAGTAACCTGGAAATTTTAACATTAGACAACAAATCAATGTATAAAAATATTACAGTAACCTGGGCATTTAAACATTGGACAACAAATCAATGTATAAAAATATTACAGTAACCTGGGACATTTAAACATTGGACAACAAAATCAATGTATAAAAATAGTACAGTAACCTGGATATTTTAACATTGGACAATAAGTCAATGTATAAAAATATTACAGTAACCTGGACATTTTAACATTGGACAACAAATCCAGATATACAAATCTTACAGCAACCTGGACATTTTAACATTGGACAACAAATCAAGAAATACAAATATTACAGCAACCTGGACATTTTAACATTGGACAACAAATCAATGTATAAAAATATTACAGTAACCTGGGCATTTTAACATTGGACAACAAATCAAGAAATACAAATACTACAGTAACCTGGATATTTTAACATTGGACAACAAATCAATGTATAAAAATATTACAGCAACCTGGACATTTTAACATTGGACAACAAATCAAGATATAAAAATATTACAGTAACCTGGACATTTTAACATTGGACAACAAATCAATGTATAACAATATTACAGTAAACTGGACATCATGTTGATACTTAATTTCTTAATTAATTTCTTACTTAATTCTTCTTCTTTCTTGTTAATTACTTCAGATTTCCAATATTTGATAAACATTAAAGAAGGTACAAGTTGTAACTATACTTACACTCTGTAACATGACCTCATCGCACCATGGTTGAAGGACTATAAAATAAAAAATGATGTTCTTAGAGAAGAGTAAAGCTTATGTGAAAGTTAATACTTCAAACCAAGCACTCAACAACAATCAAGATGAATGACATCCTAGCCCAAAATGTCATAAATATTTAAAATATCCATTTACCATACTTATTTTTATAGATTTTCTTTCTTTCCTAGTTTTGACTGTAAAATAATTTGTCCGATAGTGTACACAGATAGATAATAATGTACCTAAAAGCTCATATATTGAACTGATTACGGTATTCTAAGAATTACTAACACTTGCAGGCCTGGAATGGCCTGGTGGTTAGGACACTCAACTCACAATCTGAGAGTCACAGATTCAAATCCCCATCACCAAACAAGCTTACTCTTTCAGCTGTGGGGACATTATAATGTGAAGGTCAACCCCACTATTCATTGGTAAAAGAGTAGCCCAAGATATGGTCGTGGGTGTTTGTTAGCTGCCTTCCCTCTATTCTATCTCTGATAAATTAGGGACAGCTAATGCAGATAGTCCAGATGTAGCTTTGCAATAAATTCAAAACAAACCAAACAACTAACACTTGAAACACATAGAAAATTTTATACAGTTTCAGAACTTTGACAGTTACCCCATATAAGTGTTTTAATAACTCCAGCTATTTATTTCTTCAGTTTTTACACACAAATTAATTTGAACAGTTTACTATGTAACCTTTCCATAACATATTGTTATGTCTCTGTTCGTTTGTTAATTTCTCGTAGAAATTCTTTCCAAGAAACTTCAGCGATGCAAGTTCTTTCTTAATTAAAACTAATTTATTCTTTCTCGATAAAACTTTGCAATACACACAATTTCCACAGTCACTTTAACTTAAACACATGCTAGAATTCACAATGATTCACGCACTTTACTTGTGGTCACTAGGGCTCGCTTGACTCAATTATCTGTCTCTATATCTGTCTAACTGCACTTCTGTCTCTGCTTTATTTGCCTGGCTTATATACAATAAAAGAGGGCACCTAGAAAAGATTAGAGTTGCCACGAAAATTCAAGATCGTTCGAGAATCTCATGCCATGTTACCAGAATCACATGACTTTCGCCGTCGTAACACTGCCACTTCCTTAATATTGTTCGTCCCGAACAATAGCCACTTACATTAAACCAAAAGATAATTAACAACAACTTAATTAAATGAACAGAATTTGCAAACACAAAATTAAAATTCAACAAAGTCTCTTAATTTTTCGGGACGTATCTTCTTCTGTACTGGTCTCTGTCTCGTTGGGTTCTGTTTCATGTGGGGTTCATCTGCCCCATCAGGAAATGTTCCATTATCCATAACAGTCACATCAATGGTAGTAACTTCATCAAGGACTTCACTGTTTCCCTTCTCAAAACTGGGTAGTTTCTTATTTTACAGTGGTTTTTTTTCAGGTAACACATCTTCAGCAGCATCATTTATTCCATTGTTCACTTCATTCCAACTGAAATGTCCTGGACCGTGATAATGCCAAAGCCAGTTGGAATGCACCACCTTTGGCTTACCTCACTGACCACATTTTATTCGGAAAGTCACGTCTGAGAGACGACCCACTATGACATATGGGCCTTTCCCATTGAGAAGACAACTTAGGATACTTCCCTTTGGTCTTCCTGGGATTATACAACCACACGTTATCTCCTGGTACAAAGCTGACTTCAGTAGATCTCTTATCATAAGATAGCTTCATCGAATCAGCAGACATTTTCAAGTTTGAATGCACTTGATGGTGAATATTATCCATCCTTCCTGATAACATTTTCACGAACTCTGACACATTTTCAAGCAACTCTTCATAAGGTCTACATGTACTGCATGTCCTGCACCATTCTTCCACATCTTGCCTCTTACCTATCCAGTAAAATCT